TAATTATTAGGTTTACGATTTAATTGATACATTGATAAATAATAGGATGCTAGGCTACAATGTTGACTACCTTTTTTCCTTAAAGTTTAATAGTTCTAAAAATTTCAACCTGAGAACCTGCTACTCAGCCACCATGCTCCTAAACCAGATGATGTGAATGATTATTTAATTTGATTGCTGGCTAATGCGCCTTTGCAGTAAAGAAACTAGTAAATGGCGGACATTTTCACATTCTTTACCAATGCCTGTTCCCTTGCCAGATATCTGGTTACCCTAATTATAAGGGCATTATCTTCAGTCAGAAGGTATTGGAGATGAGCATCTATTGGGGACTGTTGAACTAGTAGCTATCTTGGTGTTACTGGTGTTCAGAATATAGAGGTGTTGTCAAGCTAGGTGTTTTCAAAGATGTATGATAAATCTTATGCACTTTAAAATCAAATTTTAAAGCTCTGTCCATCTGTAGCACAAAGTTGGTAGCAGGTGATCATTCAGTTTAGCAACCTTGACATTGTTTAGTTTATTAATTTAAATATCTTTCTCAAGCTTCTTTTTTTTTATTTATTTTTCTCACTTGCTTTTCTTCAGGTACTTTCCTATTTCCCCCTACAGTTTCCATATTGCTTTCCTTTTTTTTTTCTGTACTTTTCTGCTTAAATAATGGAGACTGGATCTGCATGCAGAATAAGCTATGACCTATATATTTGTTCCCTCTTGACACAGGCAATGCCATTGTCAGCCAGGGTTGGGTTTCAGCACTATTATTTCTTTTTTTATAAATTGTAACATCTTTTTGATCATTAGATTCAGTTTCCTCACATTTGGACCTTATTTGGTTAAACAGATTAAGATGCTATTGCTATGGAAGAGACGAATGAAAAAGAACCTTTTGGGAGTCAAACAATATGCTTTCAATTTTTATTTTGCAGCCGCCACTGCGGACGTTTGCTGTGTGCCAAATGCTCAAGTAAAGATATGCCCATCATCAAGTTCAACCTGAGTAAACCTGTTCGTGTGTGTGATGTTTGCTTTGATGTTTTATCTATCGGAGGCCAGGCCTAGGTCTCCCACCTTTCATACAGTGTACATAGACAATGACCTAGTCTTGCATGTGGACATCACCTGCTAGGATATTAAAAGCAATTTTATAATTTAGACGAACAATACATTTTTTTGTCTTTGTCAGATATAAATTGTTCCTCTAAGATGTTTGGTTTGTATGGATTGTACCTCCGGTGGGTGCTTACTTGGATATGTTTGGGTCCACCTGAAAGGTTTATACTGAAGTAAAAGTACACTTCCTTTTTTTTTTTTCATGATACATGTAGCAGTGGTAATGCCTTCTCTGGCTGCCTGTGTGGTTTGTACATGAAATCAATTTTCTATGTGCACAGAACCAGTATATCAATGTTAAACAAAAAATGATGAATGCTTTTTTGAAAGTGAGTAAGTTTCATAAATACTTACGTTAAACCAATGTATCACACTTTTGTTTCATTCTATTCTAATAGGCAGGTTAGGGAATGGCTGTGACAGTCATTATCCTATCGAACAATAAATAAACACATTTTTAGTCTTTATAATATATATTATGATATTATTTCAACAGGCTGGATGTTAAAATAATTTAGCCTGTTTTCTACAATTATTGACAGTAATGGTGACATTACAGCATTGTTTCAATTTCACGTCTGCCAGTGTTTTTGAATTTTTAAATTGAATGTCACAAAAAATTGTTAAATTAAATTTCAGATTGTCATCACTGTTAAAAGATTGTTAAAATTAATTTCCAAATTATTATTATTTTTTTTTTACAGTATTTGAAAAATTATTATATTGTTATTCTGACAAGTTCAGCTTTGCATTAAGCAAATAACTAACATTTTTTTTTCTTTGGTTCCAAAATTATTATTTTTTTCTTTGAATATTTATAAACAGTATATCTCTTGCTACATTATGCATGATAAAACTCGTTTTGCAGATTGGTATAAATTCATCAAAGTTAATAAAGATTATTATTATTTATATTATTGTTAATGTTGTTCTGAAATGAATAATGAGGACTTACTTATGTTTCTCATGTAGACGATCAAACAGAGTCACTATGTTCGCAACACCATTTTTTGATGTCCCTAGAAATAGAGACCACTGTTAGTATCTATGTTAGACTGATGAAAGAATTCAATAATGAGATACCATTTTTATGTAATTTGCAATACAATTATCTTTAGTTTTTATCATAATGACTGATTTGATATAATGTACAAATAGAATCTGTAAGGTGTTAATTTTTTTTTTTTACTATTTAAACTACTAGACAACTACTATTGTGTATATTCCAAAGACTTGTGCAATTATTTCTTTGTTTTACAGAAAGGAACAAATGGACATTTTTTTTTTTTACAACTTTTTGGTGCTTTCTGCCAGTTTTGTTTTTATTAAGCCATTTGTTCTTCCTATCAATAAGACACGTGTCTTTTTAATGTTTTTAGAAATGTTTGTTGTTAGTTCAAAGTTTAAGAAGGTCAATATCTCGCTGTCATTTTATTTCCTCAAAACGTTAACATTTTAGGTAACTTTTTTTAAAATTCTAAAATTAGCATAATTACATTTTTTTGTCTCTTGTTTTGTCTTGGAGTTGCTGAGGGGGGGGGGGGTTGGTTGGTGAAACGGTAGCGCTGCACAAAATATTTTAATTCCTATTTGTAACTTGACTCCATTTGACTCTTTTTCTGTGTTTGTCTTGGTCAGTTCTACGTGCAGAGCAAAAATAGCACAACATTGTTGTGGATGGCAGCCAGGTCATGCAATATGTGCATTGGACTGTCGTTCTGTTGTCTCAATGGTCCTGGGTTCATACCCTGCCCGCTGCCATTCACCGTCATCCTGCGGGAGGTTTGGACTACGAAGTGAAATTCTAGATGTTATTCAACTTTGAAGGAAGATCAGAAACATGTCAAACATTTTACAAAACATTTTTGTAACAAAAAATCTTTTCTAGAGAAGTGACCAAACATTACTTGGCATAGGACAGCAGCAGGAGTTGGTGAATTCAAAGAGGCACAATTCACGAATTGAACATTCACTAACGAATTGAACATTCACTCACGAATTGAACATGCACATAATGTGTTGTCTGCAGTGAGCATGCCATCTTAAAACTAACTAGCCTTAATAATAAAGAATGAGAACTGAGAATTAGGGAACCACTTTATGTTCTAGGCCATTCAGATCAAATGTTTTTTTTAACTCCAAGGCCGACATTTAAGAAGGGCTTCATTGCTTGGGTCAAAGTAAGCTCATAGACTAGAAACTTTGCATTATATGTTGTTCTAAACTGAACATTTTCTAGCTTTTCATTGTTGTATGAATGTATATTAGTTGCAATCACATGTTGACCTTATTAACCCAACTCCCATTTTTCATTTATACTGCCAATGATTTTTCTTTTTAATGTATTGTTTAGCAAGTCAATGAGGAGCACTTCTAAATTATGACCATGGAATGCCCATATGAAAAGTAGAAGGGACAAAAAACAACCTTGTGGGCCCCAGTGTGGGCCCCAGTGTGGAGTCCTTTTGAGTGAAGGTTGACTTCAATGGATGATATGTCTGCCATCTCGAGGACTTTATTATTTTGTTGAGATCTTCATGTTTTCTCCTACAGTTCGGTCAGAACGTTGAAGCTTCTCGGATGGTAGAAACTGTCTCATTCTGGTGTGCACTATGTCGCATCTTCTTGCCTTCACTTTTGTTTCTTCAGATTTGCATTTTTAAAATTTTGTTGTTTTTTTTATACAAAGTATTAGCTCACAAGCATCTCTGTCGTCTGAAACTACATCATATCCTTTCAAATTTGGCTTCTGTTTCTTTTCAAAATTGACGTGTCTTTTCCAATTTGGCTTGTGTACTTTAAAATTTTGTTGTGTATTGTTTTAAATCTGGATTTCATTTTCAAATGTTCCCACCATTGTGTCTGCTGCTGCGGCTTATTATTGAAAGGTTAGGAATGATGGGATTTAAATTCACGGGCGGCTCCAATACCTAGAAAAAGGTTGTCCCATTGACCTCCCTTATTTTTCTTTGGTTCAATAGCTCATCTCTGTTCTTCTTTGGTTTAATAGCTCATCTCTGTTCTTCTTTGGTTCAATAGCTCATCTCTGTTCTTCTTTGGTTCAATAGCTCATCTCTGTTCTTCTTTGGTTCAATAGCTCATCTCTGTTCCTTTGGTTCAATAGCTCATCTCTGTTCTTCTTTGGTTCAATAGCTCATCTCTGTTCTTCTTTGGTTCAATAGCTCATCTATGTTCTTCTTTGGTTCAATAGCTCATCTCTGTTCTTCTTTGGTTCAATATCTCATTTCTGTTCTTCTTTGGTTTAATAGCTTATTTCTGTTCTTCTTTGGTTTAATAGCTCATCTCTGTTCTTCTTTGGTTCAATAGCTCATTTCTGTTCTTCATTGGTTTAATAGCTTTTTCTGTTCTTCTTTGGTTTAATAGCTCATCTCTGTTCTTCTTTGGTTCAATATCTCATTTCTGTTCTTCTTTGGTTCAATAGCTCATCTCTGTTCTTCTTTGGTTTAATAGCTCATCTCTGTTCTTCTTTGGTTCAATAGCTCATTTCTGTTCTTCTTTGGTTCAATAGCTCATCTCTGTTCTTCTTTGGTTCAATATCTCATTTCTGTTCTTCTTTGGTTTAATAGCTTATTTCTGTTCTTCTTTGGTTTAATAGCTCATCTCTGTTCTTCTTTGGTTCAATAGCTCATTTCTGTTCTTCATTGGTTTAATAGCTTTTTCTGTTCTTCTTTGGTTTAATAGCTCATCTCTGTTCTTCTTTGGTTCAATATCTCATTTCTGTTCTTCTTTGGTTCAATAGCTCATCTCTGTTCTTCTTTGGTTTAATAGCTCATCTCTGTTCTTCTTTGGTTCAATAGCTCATTTCTGTTCTACTTTGGTTCAATAGCTCATTTCTGTTCTTCTTTGGTTCTATAGCTCATCTCTGTTCTTCTTTGGTTCAATAGCTCATTTCTGTTCTTCTTTGGTTCAATAGCTCCTCTCTGTTCTTTTAATAGCTCGTCTCTGCCCGCCTGTTATTGGATAAATTAGATTGTTTCTGCATATTTTTTTTTTTGCTAAATACTCTCGGTCAACGCATTCCAATGATAATGAAATTATCTTGTTACCGGAACCTTTTTAAGTTATTCGTGTGTTATTGTGAATGGCGTTTCCTTGACGTGATTTTAACGACTCGTTTTATTGGATGATGTAAGATTCTCTGTACGCCATTTTAATACTAGTGACTACACATGAATCAACTGAAATGGATCAGATATAAAGTAGACTAATTGTAATGATAATACATTGACTCTAGACTGACTTTGACAGATACTAGTAAATGTACTTTGTACAGGATTAGGATCAAATGAAACAACCAGCAGGAGGAGATAACTCACAACAAGAACAACAATAAAGATGTTTGAAAACACTGAGACGATGTTTGTGTGTTTATTGAACTGTGTCTGTCTGCACTGTGTCTGTCTGCACTGTGTCTGTCTGCACTGTGTGTGTGTGTGTAAGGGAAGACATTTTTGTCTGGCTCTTTTTTTCCAAAGTCTGTTAACATGTTGACCAGGTCTAATATAATTTGTAAGAAAGAAAGACAAAGGGACGTTAAGAAATGAAACAAAAACGCGTACAAGCAGAACATGTGATAGATGAGACTTTGTTTTGCTTTATCGACAGATTAAAAAAAAATCAACCAACCGAGACTCATCGTTATTGAAGGCCTGAACACTGACCTGCGACGTCGCAAACTGTGGGCAGTTTAGACCAATAGTGTGTTGCAACGTCACAGGTCGTGTCAATATATAGAATATAAATAGATCGCAGTAATCCGGTTGCATTACAACCATTCTGAGATCTTACGTACACTGACCTGCGACGTCGCAAACTGTGGGCAGTTTAGACCAATAGTGTGTTGCAACGTCACAGGTCGTGTCAATATATAGAATATAAATAGATCGCAGTAATCCGGTTGCATTACAACCATTCTGAGATCTTACGTACCCTATACACAGTTAATGAACATATATTTAATAATATATTTACCATATTTGAAACCAATTTGGCATGTATATTTTGCATTAAAAAAAAGCACACTTATTATTTCAAGCATTTACTTCAAAAAAATTGTACAGAATTGTATCAATTACATTAATTAGTGTTACAGAGTGGCTAAACTTTACAGCCTATCTGCTTCTCTGTTCAGCACCTGGTAATAATCTGCTGAAGGTGAAGAATACAGAAGACCTACTAATTTGATGATCATGTCCACACGGAGAAATTCCATATTGGTGCAGAATATATATCCCCTATCTAAAATTAGCTTCTCCAATAGACAAGAAAGAATCATAAGCCTGTATTGGAAAGATCCGTGTTTATTTTTGTCTATTTATGGTGCTAACTGTTGTTTCTCTAAATGTAAGCATACTGTTTATTGTTTACACAGTTAAAGGAACCTTGACCTCAACCCTTCACATTACGTGCCATAAGACTTTGAGCCTTGGTAGCATATCACTTCTCCTGAATTTCCTTTCAATGACATTATTGTATAGAGTCTACTCGCTGTGAATTGTGGGCAAAAATAATTTGTACGCCTACATAATGGTTCCTCTTGACTTTCTATTTTAAATCTAATCAACCGAGATTTCTGTGTGTTTCAATGTGTGTGTGTGCGTGATAATCATTTCATAAAAATCCTTTTAATTCGAGAAACAGCAAAAGAATCTAAAAATATCTAGCGTCGTTGTTGACCGTGGCCTTGAAGGCGCATAGCCCAGTAGAAAGTCACCTTCTGAAACCATCAAGCTACATTAACCACGTGACCTTGTATGCTTGCACCTACAAGTCAAAGACACTTAGAAAATCACGGAACGCAAAACGGGTATTGCAGCCTCGGTCTCGCTTGGCGCCAAGGTAAATGTGCAATTAGATTGACTTCATTTTTCTTCGGAGAAAATCCTAGAAATCTTATCATCCAAGATGTGATAGTCTTTAGAATGGATATTAACAAGGTAATAACATCTATTACGCGTAATAACAGTCTGGCAGTGCATATTTCAAAATAATCGTTTTTTTCTTATGCATTGAAATGATGACGTCTGCTCACATGACGCCCCCCCCCCAAAAAAAAATGCCGGCACTAAAGGTGTTTATCCAAACGTAGCAGACGACATAATTTCATTTTTTAAAAATTGATAATCGGAAAAAAAAGGTGGGGGCGGTCTGAAGTGAAAACGATTTTTTTTTTAAAGTTATTCACGCACTGCAATGAGATTCCGATCTTGTGGGCCCTAGAGATCTGACATTTCTGTGTATGTGATTTAAGTCGGTCTCCTTGTAGCGCAGACAACAGGAATGTGTTCTATTACAAGTTACGTGGCTGAATTGAATGCTGTCGTCTCGGTTGAATTCATCAACTCCAAAGATTATTTACTTGTTCATTTCTTTCGGCGTAAGATCAAATCAACGTCTCTATTACATCAATACTTCAATTATACGCCAGGGAAAAAAGGGTTAACAATGGAATTGAAGCAAGTAGCTAGTAGAGTGCTGAGGCAATACTGAAAAGGGAAAATGTTACTTAAGAACTGAAGTAGATTTTGGATATTTCGAGGAATACTAGTTTTTAAGGCCAATGTTTATGTCTTTTCAAAATGCGCGTCCAAACACATATCTACGCACATATACACACACAACGAAAAGGAGGCACTCTATACACTCACAGAAATAAGATTACTAGATTCTTCTTCCTCTTTGTTCTCATATATATGTTGGAAAGGTTTAGACAACCATTCCTATATTTGCGATTAACTGCGCAGTAGTTTCCAGATCTGGCAGCTCTCCATATAATTTTTGTTTTATAGGGGGGGGGGGGGGGAGGAAGAGTTTGTGACCAGTGTCTTGTTCGGGTCTCTCGATATCTATGCAGCTTTGGAGGGCATGGTCAGCATTCTTTGGTGATGCACCACAACGGCAGATCTCACAAGTCCCTATATTTTAGCCTCCGGAACATGCATTGTCACATTCTGCTATGTCCGGTTTTAAGACGAAATATTCTATTTTGGTCAAGTTGGGAGAGTTTGTAACAGGCATCTTTTTTCTTGTGGGAGACGTGGTCTATTTCTCGTTGATTCAACTCTTTACTTACAACATTTTTTTGGGTAGATGAGGACTTTGGATTATTTAGCCATTCTCCCATATGTCAATATTTCTTTATTATTATAGCTTTTATATAGCGCTACTTTCATGCTTATAGCATGCTCAGAGCGCTTTTGGTCCAATCTTATTTGTGGACCAGTGGGGGGGGGGTATCTAGTAGTTGGTTTTCCGTGTCGAACCTCGAGCCCCCTTCTAGGTAGCCAAGCCAAGCCAAGTTCAAGCGCAATTGGCCTCTCGACCACGCTTCCCACATTGCCTCCTAATTCAATCTGGCCTGTAATTCGTTGGAGGACTGTTGTTGTCGAGATGTACAAGAGCTGTCCTGGTTCCAGTCTGGAAGACAATCTTGCTTTTTGGCATGCTTGGGTGGTTTAGTAACGTGGTAGATGCTAGCTCTTCTGTTCCTCTCTGCTCTGTGGCTGTCCAAGAGATCACCAGTTGCTAATGGCCACTCACAGATGAATGCATAGTAATGCAGGGGCAGCTTAGTGAAATATCCACAAACGAGGAACTTTAACCAATGTGTAAACAAGGATACCACAAATTTTGGTTACAAAAACATTTTCTAATTTATATCTTGCATTATGGGTAATGTAGGAATCTAGATGACCTAGATCTAACTTTAACTAGACACCGTGGGGATAGACAGGATGCTGCCGCTTGCGTAGCATTCTTCAAAGGGGACCCAATTGTCGAATGATTACCGACTGCTGTCCCTTGTTCTTGTTTGGTACAATGCGGATTCATTGCCGTAATGAGCATCATCACAGAAGAAACCGACTCGAAATTTGAGCTCGTTGGGCCGGACATAAAAAAACGTTTTAAATCTAATCGAACTCATCTAAGTCTTTACCAAGAGGCCCGTATACGACACTGGCCCCAAAACACACCAATAGAAAGAAAACTGTATGGAGAGCTTCCTGATCTGGAAACCACTGCGCAGTTCATCTCATGTATTGGTCTAGTCATATGAACACTTCAACATAACAATGAGAACAAAGAAGACGAAGAAAATCTAAGTCACTAATCTCAACAAAAACAAAACTCTTTCAGTACAATTTTTTTTATATACATTTGTTACATTAACAATATGCAATTATGTAGTTTTTTTCACTTAAGTGTCCTTGGCTTGGCATATTTTGACTATATATATACAAGGCTGGATGGCTTCCTGGTGGCAAGCGCTGTGGACTGCCGTTTCAATGGTCAACGGTTCGAACTCTACCCGCCGCCCTTTCCCGTCATCTTTCGGGAGATTTGAACTGTGATGTCAGCCTAACAAGGTTCAATTTTGAAGTGACATCCAATAATTTCAAACAAACAAATGTATATGTTATATAATAATTAGTAGAACATTTATTCTAGATTATTACCAAATCATTTTTTAAAATGTGCATTTTCTCGTCAGATATTATATAAGATAAGATAAGATAAGAATAGTTGACAAAGGATTTAGTTTGGTAGAGTTGGGTTCATTGTCTCTCTCTCCCCCGCACTAAGGAGTGGGTTTGGTAGAGTTGGGGCCATTGTGTCTGTCTACCACGCACTAAGGAGTGGGTTTGGTAGAGTTGGGGGCATTGTCTCTGTCCCCCCCCCCCCCCAACCGCCGGGATACCTCTGAACACTGCTAATATAAAAAAAATGTAAAATAGTGTTTACATTTAGAAAATACCAAACTGTGGAAGATGGGCGGAGAAAGAAATATAGAGGTGCAGTCTTAGAGAGAAAGTGGAGAGGGATTGGTCACACCTATAGAACACATAAGTCAAAAAAAAAACGTTAGTTCACTATGTACGCAACAATCAAGGTTAACATTGTTCAGAAACTGTCCAAACTTGACGGTCACTAGGTTGTGAATTGTCCTCTGTTGGAGACGAACAAAGTCCTTGATATTGGGATTCTTTCGGAAGGATCTGTCCTTACTTCCTAGAGAAGCCCACAGGTTCCAAGAAATATAAATGATTTTGTTGGTGCGTTAACCTACAAGCTTGAATTTCTATTGTAGCTGTTTTTATGTACTACAAAGTGGGCTAATCAACGCAAAAAAATATTACTACACATCACTCTGTCATTAAATCCCAAGCCATTGTATACAGGCTGAAAGGTCCAAAGAACTTTATTACTATGATCGCTTTTCCCAAATCACTAGTAGAAAACCCTCACAAGTTGACAGACCATTAATGGTTTCCAGATTTTAACTTTTCGTTAACCCAAGGCCCAAGACAGGCCAAACAACATTACATTTTTTTAATAAGGGAAATAATTC